AGTCCAGTGACATAGCCATTACACCAACTGCAGGTCCCCTGAGCACACTCTTTATGTGATCAGATGTGAGTAATGATACTAATTGTAAGGTCCTGGAGTATGGAAAGTATTTGCTTTGAAAAAAGAAATACAGGGACCAGTAGTTGGTGTAATGGCTATGTCGCTGGACTCCCATGTAGTCTACCGCGGTTTGAGTTCCAGATCCAGACCCGGTGGCTTAAACTCATGCCCGGTACATGCATGCCCAAAATTCTGAGAGGAGAACGGAGGAGAAGGGATTGGGGCATGGCCATCCTCCCTGGAGGGTGATTTCTCACCTTCTGTCTCTGTCTCTTTCTGTCTTTCTGGTGAGCGCACCTGCCCTATAGCAAAAACCTCTCCAAAAAAAAAAAGAAGAAGAAATACATTCAAAGTTATCTTTATCATTTTTTTTTCATAGGATTACCCTCCGGAAAGGGCAGGATGGACACATTAGTGCTGGGCCTACAAATGTCATCAGGCCCATGTGCTGCAGAGGGATGATTCTGAGAAGGTCTTTTCTTTTTGTTGTTTTTGTTTTGCTATGGAGCATGCTATAATGCTCACCATGGGGGCGGGGGGAGTGAGAAATCATTCCCCCACCAAGGGGGATGGCCATGTTGCAATCTCTTCTCCTCCATTCTCCTTTTAGGATTTTGGGCACACATGCACACATGCCTGGTGTGATTTTTAATCTGCTGGGTCCAGGACTTGAACCACGTAGTTGGCCATGTGGGATCTAGTGCCTTAACCTCTTTTTATGGCACAGAATTCAGTTCAGAGGGTTCAACCTAGGAGAGTTTCCTTCGGAAAATACTCGGAACTTGTACCAATACCTGTAACACGGGCCACAGCAAGAATAGTGTCTGTGTGTATAGTTTGAGGAGTGTTTCTATACATCTACATCAGGAATGCAGACCTTCTAGGGATAAAATTCCACCAAGGGCTACTATAATACGAAAAATAAAAACTCAGATTCACAGCTCAGAAAAATTACACGATCATTCACGTTTTAAAATTTAAAAAGTGACATAAGGGTAACATAAAGCAATTCATGTAAACACACACGCTCAAGATCCAGATTTTGAGGAAGTTCAGCTTGAGGAAGGCAGCCATTTGGTAAATAAGAAAGGCCTCTGACAAGAACAATCCGACCAAATGCTGAGTCATAGAGAGGCCTGTGTGAGGAACTATCAGATGAGAAACCAGGAAAGGGGATTTGAAGGAATCAGGACAATCACTCGGGAGAAGGCGAATGACTGATTGATCGTAATTGATTGCCGTGAGGAATGATTTGCACGTGCTTGTGTCTTGTATCCATAAATACTGAAAACACGATGAGCTTTTCAAGACAGTTTGATGGCACTTGCTGACAGTCTTTCTCTCTAACCAGTTCTGGAAATAAACTCCCTTCTTCTCCAGCATCTGCCTCTCATTTCATTGCCTACAAGAAGCAGCAGCCAGACTTAGTTGGCCTGAGACAATTTCCGTTCCATATTATGCATAGCTAAGCAAGACAGAGAGTTAGAGAGAGAGGAGATAGAAGGAGAGAGAGAACAAACGTGAACGCGGGGAGCTGATGAGGAAAACACCTTTACTGCAGAGTGGTTCACAAAAGCCCCAGGACATTTTTAGTAAGCTATGAGTGTGCCTTTGCTTCTCTTAGTCGGGGGGTGAGGGGGGTCGTTTATTCATTTACCCAGTATCCACAGGGTTTTGGGCCCCATCCCTGCTGCTGGGGTAAGAAACGAAATGTCAGCTTCTGCTCCTGAGGCCTCTGTCGAGTATGCATACACAGTATCTGGTACAGAGCCAGACAGCGAACAGGCTCAGTGCAGGGGGGTGACGCCCCATGATGGGGACGTGTACTGTGGGAGCAGAGGAATCAGGTCCAACCCAGTCTGGGTGAGGCACAAACAACCTTCTGGAAGAGCAGATGCTTGGCTACATTAAGGGGGCCCACACAGCTGTGCTGCCAAGAACAGACACAGACCTGAACCAAGGCAGTGCACCTGGTAGAAAGGGATGACTAACTGGGAGGGCTCCTGAAGAGCCTTAACTGGGGAAGATGACTCCAAGATGCCCCCAATTTCCAGTTCAAGGAACTGGGGGATGAGCTGTCACTAACTGAACTAAGGAAGAAAACAAGTCTCTAAGCAAAAATTTTTTCCCAGTCAGAGTGACTTTTTTTTTTTTTTTTTTTTTTTAATTCATGATGAGACCAGAAGAAGGCATGATGATCAAGGTGCTGGACTCCCACATGGCCATCCGCATTTTGAGTACTGAACCCAGTGGTTTGAAACTCAATCCAGGCAAGAGTGTGTATGTGCCCAAAATCCCAGGAGAAAGGATTATGGCTTGGCCACCCCCCGCAGGGGGTGATTTCTCTCCCTCTCATTTCTCTCCCACTCTCTCTAGAGAGCACACATGCCCTATGGCAAAACTTTAAAAAAAAAAAAAAAGTTCATGGAAAATATATATTATGAAAAAACAATGCATGCATTAAAAATTTTTTTGCACTAGAATAAATTCATACTTTAATTCCATTTTCCATGAACTTTTAGAAGATCCCTTGTAAAGCTCCCTGGTTTACTCAGTCTAGATGGAATTGGACATCTATTACTTAAAATTGAAAGAGTCCCGTGTTCAAAATTCTAATTTCTTCTTTTTTCACCGAGAGACATACACACAGAGACAGCCAACCCCAACAGGGCCCTCACATTGCCTTCCACCCCAGGCTCATGCACACGCATGCCTGGCATGCACAGGTAAGTCTGGAGACGTGAACTCAGACCTTCCCACATGGGTCCGGTTGCTTAATGCTACAACACTGCCTGCTCCCCGTTCACCCCTCACTCTCTTACTTCCTACATGTATTACAAAGCTTGGGTCCAGCCCAGAAAGCCTTCCCTGACCAGTTGCTCCTGCTCTCGCAGGCAGTGCTCTTCCCTAGGTTCCCATCACAACTGGACCAGCCTCAGGATATCACTTCCCAGTCCAACAGGTCATGGTTGGTTCACAACCTGTCACCATCAAGTTTTAAACTCCCTGACCCTAATACAGTCTGCCTGACAGAGATGGTGTACCCAATTGTCTTTGAGGAATAACAAGTTCAGAGTTCACCTGTGGAATACTCAGGTGTCCAGGAGGTATTGGGGGGATCAATAAATCACTGGGGGGGGACCAGCAGTTAGCGTAATGGCTATGTCGCTGGACTCCCACGTAGTCGACTGCGGTTCACGTCCCAGACCCGGTGGCTTAAAACCCATGCCGGGTGCAAGTGCGTGCGTGCCCAAGATCCCGAGAGGAGAATGGAGGAAAGGGATTGCGGTGTGACCATCCCCCCTGGGGGGTGATTTCTCGCTTTCTGTCTCTCTCTGTCTGTCTGGCGAGCGCACACGCCCTATAGTGAAAAACCTCTCAATAAATAAATAAATAAATAAATAAATCACTGGGGGCTGGGGGTGGGCTCTGCTTTAGGGGAGCAGATGGAGAAGGCTAGTGGGTAGTAAGGAAGAGGATGGTGCCCCCCTCAGCTGCTTTCCCGTGGCTCATCCAAGAAGGGAAGGACAAAGGTGCAGTGGTGATGAGGGGGACATAAGGGGTTGATTTTAACATTCTGGGACCAGCAGATGGCGTAATGGCTATGTTGCTGGACTCCCATGTAACCAACTGCAGTTCAAGTCCCAGACCCCGTGGCTTAAACTCATGCCAGGTGTGTGTGTGTGCGTGCCCAAGATTCTGAGAGGAGAAAGGATTGCAGTGTGGCCATCCCTCCTGGGGGGCGATTTCTTGCCTTCTATCTCTCTGTGTCTCTGTCTTTCTGGCGAGCGCACTTACCCTATAGCAAAAACCTCTCTACAAAAAAATTAAATAATAATAAAAAAGAACATTCCAAAGACCTGACTGTATTTACATTCAGAAGGAATAGAGCCATGAAGGGAGAGGGGGAAAGGGCAAGGACACAGGACATGGGGAAGAGGTGGAAAGAAAAGGAATAAGACAACCCAACAGTCACACCAGTTAGGACAATGCCCTACGTGGGTGAGGAACAGGAACCCTCCACAGAGTGGCCTCATTGGGCACCCCCACACGCTAGCGAGGCTGCGCCAAACAGAGCGTCCTGTTTCCCCAAGGCTCCCAAAGCATTCAGCTCCCTTCCTCTCAATTTCCTCCTCCTCCTCCCTGCAGCCACACTTAAGCTGCCTTTCTGGGTCATTAACCTCCAGCCCCGTCCAGATCTCCTGCGGCGCTGGCCAGAGTTCAGGGTAATCTGTGGTATTGGTCCCCTGGTGGTTGTGCCCAGGCCTGGGAGATTAGGTTACCCCAGGATAATGCGCACTGACTCTGCCCAGTGCCATGCGAGCCTGTAAAGCTAGGAGCACGGATGTGAATTATTGAGGAAATCTCAGGTTCGCGACAATTCCCTGGCAATTCAGATACGCCAGAAACCTGAGAGGATGCAGCCCGGCCCTCGGGGTGCAGTGGCTGGGATTGAGCAGGAAGTCACTTCCCAAGCCCACACGCCTCCTGCCAAAGTCTGGGGACTCACTAAGGCCCCATGCTGAAGGCCCTCCGCAGCCAGGATCTCCCAGAGGATCTGCAGGGCAGAGCAGCAGCCCACCATAAGAGCCCAGCTCGGAAGCCACACTCATCTGGGCCTCGATGCATGTGAAGACTAGAAGGAAGCCATCCTGTTTTGCCTCAGAGGAGCCCAGGGGAGGTATGGTCTCCCCCAAAGATATGCTTAGCCTACTTGTGAGGGGCATGATCCTTGCCCCTTGAAGGACAGAGAGAGGAGACACACATGGTTGTAATGAAGAGCAGCTAGAATAAGTTACAGGGATGGTATGAGCACTGAGCAGGTGGCTAGAACTGCCCAGACCACTAGAGGTGCGAGTCCAGAGGAGCAGATTTGCATGAAGGTTGGCACTTCCAGGGGGCCTCCTTGTCACCCAGTGCAGAGCAAAGGTGTGACCTACCAGCCGCTGCTGAGCATCCCCGGAGAGCTGCAACTCCCAACACAGGCAATGGCTGCAAGGCTCCTGCTCGCCTCTACTTCACGTTACAGGCTGCTGTCTGGAGAAAAGAAAGGGAGGGTGGGGAGCAGGTCAGTTACTCAGCTTTCCAGCCTTCTTTGATTTTGGTTCTCAAGAGACATCTCAGGGGTTTGCTCAGGGTTTTTACTTACCTGCCTTCTGACGCCTATTATACTCAGCTGTGTATCTTGGGCTGCAAAGATCACTGTGTGTGTGTGTGTGTGTGTGTGTGTGTTCATGTGCATCTCACATGTGCAGGGCAAGCTACATGTGCATAGCTCCACGTGGGTGTGGCCACATAGCAAAATGTCTGTGTTTGCTTAAGTTGTCCCTGTGCATACAAGTGTGTGTAGTTGTGTGCACCCTGAATCCTCTTTTGCAAACACACGGAGCATTTCTTGACCAGGTTGTAATGTCTGGCAACACGAGGACATCATTATGGTGGGCTGGACATTGAGCTGAGTCTTGCCATTTTCCTGGCTCTGCCCAGGGCTGACACAAGTACCCTAATGTCCCAAACTCCCTCCTCTCTTGTCAAGCTGCTGAGTCACTGAAGAACTCTCATGAGCTACATCTCATGAATTATATCCAAGACTTTTCCAGAGGGTGAGAATGCCTGCTCTTTTGGGCTTCCACTGCCTGACAGTATAGGGAATAAAACCAAATTTGGTTTTTGCTGTACAAGGAGACTTCAAAAAAGTCATGGGAAATGGAACTAAAGTATGGATTAATTTTGGTGCAAAAAAACCTTGAAATGCATGCGTAGTTTCTTTTTTAATAGAAATTTTTGCTATAGGGAGCGTGTGCTCGCTGGAGAGAGAAAGTGAAAAATCAGCTCCCAGTGGCAATGGCCATGCTGCCATTCCTTCCCCCACCTCCTCCATTCTCCTCTCAAGATTTTGGGCATGCACGCACATGCACCCAACGTGAGTCTCAAGTGGCCAGGCCTGGTACTCAAACTATAGTCAGCCATGTGGGAGTCCGGTGCCTTAACCACTACACCACCAGCTGGCTCCTCCATACATAGTTTTTTATATACACTTTCCATTAACTTTTTGAAGACAACACAGAAAACTTTTGTAACAAAACATGGGCGGCGGGGGGGGGTGTCAGTCCTGTAGCAGACACCAGCTGGAGTCCTCCAATGCAATTCAGTTCTGACACTAAGCACCTGGAGGTACCATCAGATCCCTCAGGTTGAGGGTTCAGTCTTTAAGACCACTTCTACCCCACTTCAGATACCAGTTTCAAACCCCAGGTTGTTTTGCCTATGCTTCTGACCAACCAACTATAAATAAGAATTCCCAAGACCCAAATTAGGTTCAATTAATATGTTAGAAGAGCTCCCAGAACTCAGAAACACTTGTTTATGTCTACCAGTTGGTTATAAGGCCATTGCATAGGGGTCACATGGGGAAATGCACAGGGCAAGGCGTTGGGAAGGGGCAAGGCCTTCCATACCGTTGCTGAATGCAGCTCCCTCCAGGAGCCTCCATGTGTTCACCTGCCCCAAAGCTCTCCAAGGCCTATCCTTTTGGATTTTTATGGAGACTTCATTGCCTAAGCATGAAATGCTAATAGACTGAGTAGGAAACCCAGGAGAGCCTGTCTGTTCAGATCTTGACCTCTCTGCGCACCAGTCCTTCCTCCCTGCTATGGGGCAGGACCCTCTGGAATGAGAGTCTTGTGATTTATTACTGGAAAGAAATTTGAGTTTCTAAGGCCTGCCTTGTGGAGCAAAAGGAGCAGGTGAAAGGAGGGCAGAAGTTCAGACTGTCTTTATTTTCTCTCTCTGAGGTTGTTCTGAAGCTGCATCAGGAACTGAGGACCCAATGCCAAATATTTATAAGCCAGCGACCAAATATTTATAAGCCACTGAAGTCTCCATAAAACTCCAAAAGAATAGGCTTTGGAGAGCTTGGCAGGAACCATAGACAAAACCAAACACAATTAATATCACACAATGATTCTCAGTTGATTTGTTTACTCACTCCTCAAACACTGAGTTTCTGCCAGGCCAGGCACTGCATTAAAGAACAGGAGAGAAAGCCAGCAGGAGGTGTGGAGGTGAAGTCTGCGGGATTCCACATGGCCAACTCTGTGATTCGAGTCCCGGATCCGGCAGCCTGAAAATCATTCCAGGCACGTGTACATGTGCGTCCAAAACCCTGAGAGAAGAATGGAAGACAGGATAGTAGTGTGGTCATCCCCCCTGAGGATTGATCTGTCACTTTTTCTCTCTCTCTCCCTGAGGATTGATCTGTCACTTTTTCTCTCGCTCTCTGGCGACCGCAGGTGCCCTATAGCAAAAACAGAAACAAAAAAATGAGGATACAGAAATTACTATCGCTTGTCTTTATAAAATGCATACCTAGTCAGAGAAAGTCCTAGACAGTACTAATCATGTCCAAAGACAGACTCTGATAAACTGTGGAAGCACAGGAAAAAAACGCTAGTCCCCAAGCAACCTGGGAAGACCATGAAGGTTGGAAAGAAGTTTGACAAGTGAGTGGGTGGAATAGCATTGCAAGCAAAGCGACGGTGTGCTGAGAAACCTAGAAAGGAGAAAGCCCATGGAGTTGCTACTTGTTGACCCTTCATTACGACTTCAGGCATGTGCTCGTCCAGTGGAATGCAACATGAAGGGCGCCCCTGACACCGCCATGCAATGGTCCTGCCCTTCATCCGTGTTCTTATCAGTCTGCGTATACAGCTTACTCATGTTACATTAGACCAGTTTCAACAGGAGGAAATGAATCGGAGAGGGGTTCCAAGAACATGGTAAGGTATAGAAGCAACCTAACATGCCATGGGAGAGGCTGAGGAGCGCTCCATGAAAAAATCAGCTTGATTCCTTAGGATGCTCAAGATCAGAATGGCTTACTGAGAATGGTTTCAAATTCTTTCATTTAATCACCTACCAAAAAGACATTCATCTGATGCAATCTGGAGCTTTCTGAGGAAAAAAAAAAAAGAATCTCTTATTTATTCATGATGAGTTGGTTTTGTGTTTTCTCAAGTATGTTCCTAAGAACAATAAATAGTCCAGACAGATTCTTAGATCAAATAAGAGTTACCGGGAACCAGCAGTTAGTGTAATGGCTGTGTCGCTGGGCTCCCACGTAGTCGACCGCGGTTTGCGTCCCGGACCCGGTGGCTTGGAACTCACGCCAGGCGCGTGTGCGTGCGTGCCCAAGATCCTGAGAGGAGAATGGAGGAGAAGGGATTGCGGCGTGACCATCCCCCCTGGGGGGTGATTTCTCGCTTTCTGTCTCTATGTCTCTGTCTGTCTGGCGAGCGCACACGCCCTACAGTGAAAATCTCTCCAAAAAAAAAAAAAGAGTTACCTGGATCAATACATTTAGGAAACATAAACAAGACAAAACAGGTTTCACTGCTAGGATACTTATCAGTCTTTCAAATCTTTTTTAAAATTATTTTTTAGTTTTGCTAGAGGGCACGTGTGCTTATTGGAGAGAGGCAGGGAGCGGGAAAGTTAAAAAGCACCCCTAAGTGCAGCAGTCATGCTGCGATCCCTTCTCCATTTTTCCTTTTGGGATTTTGAGCATGCATGCATTCATGTTTTGTTTTTTATTTTTGTTTATTTATTTTTTATTTTATTTTGCTGTAGGGCACGTGCACGTGCCAGACAGACAGAGAGAGACAGGGAGATAGAAAGCGAGAAATTACCCCCCAGGGGGCATGGCCATGCTGCAATCGGGACTCGAACCGCGGTCAACTATGTGGGAGTCCAGTGACATAGCCATTACGCTAACTGCTGGTCCCGTGTTTTTGTTTTTGTTTTGAGAGGTTTTTGCTATAGGGCGCGTGCGCTCGCCAGAAAGAGAGATAGAAGGCGAGAAATCACGCCTCCCCCCCAGGGTGGCATGGCCACACTGCAATCCTTTCTCCTCCATTCTCCTCTCGGGATCTTGGGCACGCACGCACAAGCACTGGTGTGAGTTTAAGCCACCACGTCGACTATATGGGAGTCCAGTGGCATAGCCATTATGCCAACTGCTCATCCCAAGCCTGGTGTGTTTTTACATTATGCCCAGGCCATGAGCCATGCAGTTGGTCATGTGAGATCCAGCCACTTTAACTAACATGTCACCAGCTGACCCTAAAATCTTAATATGCTCTGTGAATTTTCGTTACTAGGCTATGGCCAGAAAGATATCCCAAAGATATTCGAATCATAAACCCCATATGCTTCCACAGACTTGGTAAGGCTGATTAAAACCTTTGAGGAGAACCTAAGATTGGGAAGAAGAGTTCTGAAGAGTCACTGTGATGATGGAAAACAAAAGAAAAAGGATTCATAAATTCCTGGGCCAATGACATGGCAAGGAGAGGGATCATCTGTCCCCATCTAGGAAGTTTTCCTGGAGGATTATGGCCTCAAGAACCAACTGATGGGGGAGCCAGCAGTGAGCGTAATGGCTGTGTCACTGGACTCCCATGTAGTCGACCGCAGTTCGCAACCCGGACCCGGTGACTTAAAACTCAAGCTGGGCGCGTGTGCGTGTGTGCCCAAGATCCCGAGAAGAGAACAGAGGAGAAGGGATTGCAGCATGGCCATCCCCCCCCGGGGGGGGTGATTTCTCACTTTCTGTCTCTCTGTTTTTCTGGCGAGCGCACGCACCCTATGGCAAAAACCTCTCAAAAAAAAAAAAAAAAAAAAAGAACCAAGGAATGGGAGAAAGCAGTCTGGAGGGACTGCAGCTTAATGTGTGTCATGTGAAAGCAAACATGAACTTGGGGGAGGAGAGCCACTCAGTAAAATGTCACGGATACGTATCTGTTGGAACTGGCTTGTATCACATGTTTTGAGGGCCGGATAAGGAGGAAAGAAAGAGCTTGAAATTTTGACTCTCCCAAATAGTGGCCAGCCTTATAAAGGAAGTAGAGCCCCTGACGTTCCCACACCCCTCCAGTGGTCTAAGAGCCCCCGTCGTTGCTCCCGCACCCCTCCAGTGGTCTAGGAGCTCCTGCCATTGCTCCACACCCCTCCAGTGGCCTAGGAGCCCTGGAAGCTCC